CTCCAGTTAACACGTGACAAAGTCTCTGCACACAATCCACCACGACAAAAATACAACAGCAAAATAAAATTCCAACACTGAATAACACCTGCAACAACGTCCTCAAAAAAAAAGAAAAAGAAAAGGGGAAAAAAGAGCGACTCTTTTCCTCTAAAATGAGTGGTGGAACAGGGAGAGGGACAAAGTGCCAGATCAGAGTCATTCAGTTCATGTTTTTCAAAATAAAGGCGCACATGGAAGATGCCCTGCAGGGTTTGCTTTGGTCAAGGCTCATATCAGGACACGATTTCATAAAATAGGACAGGAAGCAGCAGGGGTCCATCTACTCAGTCTGAAAGTCGTTTTTTGTGTGAAAGTTGAGTTAGGATGGCAGAAAATTCCAGACATTTGCACATATGATTATCTGATATTACTGTATTTAGACCCCCATAGTGAGTCCACCAAAGTACAAAGTGCTGATTAAGTTAAAAATGCATTTTTATATGCATACAGAACATTTAACAAACACTGGAGATACGAAAGTAACATTAATAATAATACAGATTTCTGATCGTGCACAATACTGTAACTGAAAAGCAACAGCTGGATAAGCCATGTTTTTCTTCAAAGGTGGCCTATTCTGCTTTTTCTTATTTCCTGCTATATTTATCCCATTTCAATGGTGAATGTTCATATAAAACATGGCCAAGTTTGAATTAATGCAGTTAGTATGTAAGTAATCGAAGAGCCAAACTCTGTGGCTTCAGACAGTTAAACTACTTACAAATCCAAGCTCTGCGAAGCACTCTGTAAATAACAATTAAACATGATGAAATTAGTTTTAACCTACAAAACTAATTTCAGCAAAGATGCCTTCATCAGGGAGTTACACAGGGGTCCTTCATCTGCTCAACCATCTTTTAAATAAAACTTTTATGGTCCAAAGTTTGACTTTGAGTTTGTGATTGCTGTTAAATTTCAGCTTCACATTTACCATGAAAATGAATCAGGATCTTTAATTTGGGACAGATTCATTAAAAAATGACTAATTTTGATCATCTTCAAATTGCATAATAAACTAATGGCCCAACGTTTGGACATATGAAGTGACTGCTGTGAAATTTCATCTTTATATGGCAATTACTTAATTTTAGATATTTACTTTTTTTTTCATTGAAATTCCCTGTTGAATACAGCAAATATGACACGTTGTACCCTAAAAACAAAAAAATATCAGCAGCTAGTCCAGATCAAAATTTGAAAACATAAAAATTCTGGAGCTTCCAGATGGTATTCTAATTTTTAAAAACAAGATTTTTTTTCCCATTTTTGTGACTAACATTTTAATGTTAAAGAATATTTTACATTTTACTTTTCATTATTGTAAAATATAACTATATATCATTCAAAAAGTGTCACTAGTTTTCTTTTGCAATGTAAAGTTTTTTAATAGCATGCATTCAAATATGGGGCATTTTTTTCATTTTAGCCAGCCGATACTCAGACGTTTTTTAATAACTCTGTCCCAATTTACCTGAATTGTTCTGATGGTAAGAAATACCAGCAAATATTTTAGGCTTTTATTGTTAATATTTTGAGATATTCATGTTCAAACATTGCCTCACACTTTAATGTGCGAAAAGGCCTGAAAGTGGGTAAACACACCAATAAAAAAAGATATATGAAAAAAAGATATATGTGTGTGTAAGACTGCATCTTCTGTTATTTTCTGAAAAAGTGAATATATTAACAGTGATTATCTCAAAAGCCTTAAAGATTATACTAAAAACAATAGCTTATATTCAATAAGTCTTGTATAACAATATAGTCAATGACTATTTGTAAAGGTTGTGTAAAAACTGTTATGGTTTAAAATTCACTATTTGATTAGCACTCCTCATGGAGCAGTTTTAAAAAAGCTCTACAAAGCTAACAGCAGACACACACACACACAGTTAGAGAACATAGTGCAGCATTTAGCAGCTAAAAATACAGACATTTTCCCAGAGGAGACCAAAAACTGTGCTAAAAGAGTTACTTGTAATACTATACTTTTACTAACTTTTACGTTTTGAATCCTGCCTAAATGCGTTTTATATATATATGAGATATTAGATATATTTAGCATTTAGTATATTTAGATTTTTGTCTAAATGCTCTTTTTGCACATTTGAAATTGTCTTTCTGTTGAAATACATTTTTTTTTAAAATTTGGTTGCATTGCTTCATTTTACATTCGGACATAAAATGAATGAGCTTCTTACTCTGTATCTACTGAGTGTGTTAAATGCTTAAAATGCTTAAATGCTGTGTTAAATTGTTTTTACGGGTTTATAGCACAGCAGTTACATATATAAAAAGTAAGCAATCATTATATGAATAAATTTGTGTGGCTTTTGAGCATTTCTGGGCTCGCTGTTGGTTTGTTTTTGATGTGTGTTTGCATCCTGTTTGGTCAATTTTTGTTTGGATTAGAACACAAAGACCAAAACTGAATAACTGAAATGACTTATTTCATTGTTTTGGATGTTTTTTAGCATCTTTGGAACCTGTTTATTGGCTGCTTTTCTTAAACTACTAAATCAAACTGAAAAAATAAAAGTGCAATATTTGAAATCTTTGCATCATTTCTGTTAGACGTTTCATCCTCACGGATGCCTGATATCCTCAAGAGCAGCCACAGTGGTCAACCACCATGGAGTGGATCTTTCCATAGATGATCTGCTCCTTGCGGTTGAAATAGAGCATGTTAATGGGTGACATCTTGGTGGGTGTGCAGCAGGGCCCAGCTGTACCCCGTGGGTTAGCCTTGTTCACCAGGTGTGCATGTGGGTACTGCTGCAGGTGCAGGAACTCACACTCCCCTGAGCAGTAGTTTGCTCGGTAGCGTTTGGGCGCAATAATCCAGTCCCACCCAAACTCCTCAAAGTCAACGGTGAGTGGGTATCTACAGCAGCGTGTCTCCACAGACTCTTCATCACAGTTGAGGCCCGAGTCACGACGGGATCTCTTGAGGTTGTCGAGGATCTTGACCTCGATGAAGGGTTGCTAGGAAGGAGTTGTAAATGGAAAATTAAACAGTAATGCATAAGACAGCCTGGAAGGTTTATAGTTTATAGTGCCTAAACGTAACCTTGTAGTTTATAGTGTCTAAACCTGACCACATAGTTTTTGGTGCCTCACTTTATTAAGTAATAATTTTGTTTCATTATAAAAATTATTATAGGTACTGAGCTTACTTGAAATTTAGCCAATAATTAACCATTGCTTAAGTGTAATGCATAAAAATAACTGCTACTGCAAACCAATACTTATAGAGTCATAGAGGAAATAGACTCACCAGTCCTTCCTCTCCAGGCTCTGCTGAAGTAACGGCCAGATCTTCTCCTTTGGAGTCGTAGGCGTTGATTTCTATGCCATAGTTGGTTTCTGGTTGACGCAGCCAAGCCTGCAGCAGAGACTTGATGTCGATGCTCTGCCAGGAGCCAGCACCAGCGTCAGTGTCAATTTTCAGGGAGCGAACCCGGACGCGGGTGCTGTTTCCCTCCTTGCCAGGTTTGAGGCGGGAGACCTGCAGGAAGACGGTGGTAACCACGTCAGCAGGCCGCAGGTGAACCCACAGCTGAGCGCTCAGGATGTTTTTGGGCTGAATCTTTGGACTGAGGCTGAACAGACAACAGGACAATTCGTCCTGGGCGATTGGATTGTCTGGAAGAAGTGAGTCATATAAAAACAAAAAAAAAAAAAAATGTTATGCTGTTGCATTAGAAACATTTTCACATAAACTTTTGGTTGTCATGCATGCAGACATTCACGAAAGGATATTATTATAATTATTAAAAAATATTTATTAAAACTGGAAATTCTGTTTTTGCTGTGCCACTACAGTATTTTTAGTGGCCCCCCATGTGGCCACCCCTATGAAAAAATTCTGGAGGTGCCCCTGATCATTTGAACGATGTTATTCCAGTTAATGCTGTCAGTCAATTGTCTGTTTTGTCTCCTTTTTGGAAAACTAAATGAACAGATTTGGAGAAATTCTGTAGCTAGAATTTAATGGTGATTTAAGATATGAGTGGTATTAGTATGATAACTCCTTAAATGTTTCATTTGTCCTTCAATAATGGTATTTTGCATCACCATAACTTCTAAATTCATCAACTAGTTAATCTAAGATTAAAATTCTCCAGATTAAAACGACAGAAATCTGTTGCTAACCACCCCAATTGAGCATGTGAAGGCTGGGAGGCTCCCTCAAACGCTCAACACCAGTAATACCAAATACAAATCCTCGTTAAAGATAATTGTTGGTCACCTGCCATTAAGATTTTATGGCTAATATAAATATAAACATCATATCATATAAACATTTACGGCCTTAAAGTCGTAGCTCAGGTCTGTTTGGTCGTTTGCGCCTCAGCAGTATCCTATTTTACTGCGAATCTCTTTACGCACAGGATTTACGCACAAAAAAAGTGCAAAACTATTTATTTATTTATTCATGTATTTATTTATTTATTTTAGGTATAAACCCCTCAGTGGTTTGTTTAGTTACGCGTTGTTGCCATTGTGATGATGGTCTCCGTGGTTGCGTGGTCTTCGTCCTCCACCCGCGGATCATACTGGTCCAGCAGCTGTGTCAGAGGAGGCGCTTTGGGGATCAGCTGGCGGATCATATCGCGGCTGATGTTGGGCGCCTGCTCCAGCCGCAGGATGCTGAGGATTTGCGACTTGATGCTGTGGAGCCTCATCTGCTTGCTGTGCTCCCGGAAGTCGCAGGCTGAACACTGCTCTCCGCTCTCCCCCAGCAACTTGGAGGTCTGGTTCATCTCCATGGCAAAACCCGAAGAGGAAAAGAAGATAACGGAAACGCTCAGGCAGAGCGAGAGGAGCATGCTGGAGAGAAGAAGTGAGCGCAGTGACGCCGTCTGATGTGAGCCTGTCCCCCCAGGACTTTATGATTGGCTGCTTTTTTTTTTTTTTTTTTTTAGAAGTCACATTTAAAGAGGTAGGACAACTTTTCAGATGTGAAATAATCAAATACGTTTGATTGAAGTGTGTTTATAACAAGGTTTAAAAATGCAAAGCGGGACAAATGAAGCAATGCCACACTACAGTGTGACATAGCCTAAACACAGAGATATAAACATCTCTAAACGTTTCAGTCATGCACACAGCTAAGTCAGCTAGCTGGATCTCTTAGAATAAGCTTTTTCTTTCTTTTCTTTTGGTAACATCAACACAGAGGGAGTTTTAAAAAGTGAATTGACAGGTGCGCATTGCATTTTCCTCTCCAAGACCTATTGTTTGTATTTTGTTTTGTTTTGCCACCAGATGGCGCCGCTGACTCTGTGTCTACATTCTGAGCTGCACAAACTCCCACTCTGCAGGACTCTGAAGGCACCATCACCTGCTCATGATCCATATTTACATTTTACTCGAAGTTGTTGCTTCCTGTTTGCTGAGACTTAAAAATCACTCTCAGCTGTAAGTGTTAACTGGAAAGCTAAATCTACAGTTTAGTTTGCGCTTGTTGTTTAATAGATGACACATACGGAATGATATAACACTATGTTGTTGTTTTTATTTTAAAGAGAATCTATCCTGCTCATTTCTAGCTACACGTTTCTATTCTTGGACTCTCCTAGAGTAGCTTTGCATGAATCACAGTTCAAAATAATCCTTCTTTTTCTTGCATTGGGCCCCAGTGTTGCCCCTCAGTTCATCCTCTGTGTGAAACCAGCTTTGTAGCTCCTCTCCCTTTAAGCCTGCAGGGTCTGCCCCATTAGTTTCTCTTTGTGTTTTTGGCCTGCAGCTGACTTTCTTCTGATTGGCTGCCCCACACAAACAGAAGGTTTCACACAGAGCCAGAGCCGGTGCACTCACATCCTAATCCTGTTTTGTCAGGTAACTCCTGCATCTGCATCGAAGCCAAGTGTCCTGTAACGTCATTGCCATTGATGCAGTGGCAGTGGCAGCATCAGCCACCCAGAAAATAACAGTCCCTTTAAGGTGTTAAAAAGTCATGATTTAGGATGAAACACACCAATTCACCAAAGCTGGCAGTGACAGATCCAAATCTAAATGCTCAGTTTCATACTGTTTTTTCTACTCTCTGGCCTGTATGATGTCATAGTTATTCCTAATATGGTCATCTCAGGCACAGAAGCTCCATCTGCTGCTCACACACTCTGCTAAGAAAGTTGGTTTAAAGGGCGAGGAGCTGAAACAGCTTGTTTCAGACAGAGGATGGCCCGAGGAGCTGAACCAAGGCCCAGTGTAAGATAAAGAAGGATTATTCTGAATTCATTCACCAGCTGACTCATGCAAAGCTACTATGAGTCCAAAAATAAAAGCATGGCACTGGTAATGAGCAGAATAGGTGCACTTTAAGGGCTTTCAGGGGGTAAACAGTTTGTTTTGGGTGGTGTCCAGCGATTCGCTCCTCCCACAAACCAGCAGCAGGTGGAAACTGGTTCAGCAGCCTGGTTATCAGCAGCTCTGGAGGTTGGAGAGGAACTGCAGCACAGGACAGAGGGTAACTTGAAAAAAAAATTAAATTTTCACTTTTTGTAATATCACTGTGTGTTGTAGAAGGCTCTTATTTTGATTTGCCACCCATGTGTGTATTTATAATGCCTTAAAATGCCTTATTTAGTCCAAAGTCTGACAGAAACTTTATATGTGACTGTGTATGAAATTTCTCACCTTTTAAAAAGGCTTGTTTTCTCCAGTGTTTCGTAGAGCCCGGTGTCTCTGGTGTTGCTGTTGTCGGATAAAGAGAGGTCGGAAGGTGATGATATCTTTCTCCAGAAAGATAGAGAACAGCTCTTGTTGGGTCAAACATCTCCTGGAAGTGTTTAAAACCAACATGTCTTTGTTCTGCTGACTGTTTCTGCAGACATGAAGGTCACCAGTAGAAACTCGTGCTGCTGAAGATTCAACAGCTCCATCAGCGTCTCTGTGAAATGGGATGTAACAGGTCAAGATGCTGGTTTGGAGCCAGTTCTGACAAACCGGATGAGGCCATCACCGATGAGGCTGAGGGGTTTCTGAAGCATGCAAGCGACTCTGAAGGTGTTGCAGGCTCAGCTGACGGCAGCTTCCAGGATCCCCCTCCAGTCAGCAGAGCTCTGCTGGACTTTGCTCAGAGGATGTCGGAGGACATTGTCGCTCAGGCTCTGCATCTCTGCTGGGAGGCAGCGATCCGATACGACGAGCTGCCTTTCATTGACAGTGACGCCGATTATGTTAATGAACCAAAACATTTCTTTACTTGAAATCTGCCTGAACATCCACCCAGGCTGCATGAAACAGGTGAAGTTCAGATCTTAGTTTCTGTCCACAGCAAAAATCTGAGGTGTGGATTATTTTAAGACATTACAACATGTGTCCACAAAACTTTGTACTGCAAAACAAAAGCACCACTTCTGAAACCTTTAAAGTTAGAGTTTAAAGAGTATAAAGGACAATTAGATTATGACCACTAAAATCTAGTTCCAGGTAGGGCTGCCACGATTTGTCGACTAGTCACGATTACGTCGACTATCAAAATCGTCGACGACTGATTTAATAGTCGACGTGTCGTTTGAAGCTTTGTAAGATCGCAAAAGACGCAGGAATAAGTAGTAGGATTTAAGAGTGTAATAACGGACTGAAACAGAAGATGGCAGCACTGCATGTACAAGGATGCCAGCTGCCGTTAAACCCCGAAGAAGAAGAAGCAGCTGTGTCCCAGAATTCATAGCGCAGCCCAGCTTAGTTTCCAACAATGGCGGTAGCTAGTTAGTTTTAATATTACTCTTATTATTCTTTCTGGGTCACAAAATAAACGTTTAACATATTTTCAGGCGAGAATGTAGCTGTGTAAACCTCAAATATCTGCTCAGTTTATCAGGACACCACATATTTTTAAAAGCGCTCCGACGTTTTCGGAGACGTCTGTTACCCACTAGCTCGATAGCTAGCCGGGGGCTAGGTCACTAGCGCCGTGAGAACACCGGACTCCCGGCAAATTGTTTTCAAACCCACCGCCGTCTTTCGTGACTCAGGTTAAATATATATGAGTCACTTAGATAAATTAAAAATGTTATTGTTTGGCTTTTTTTTTTTTTTAGTATTTTATTTGTTCCTGAGTAAATCGGTTTGGCTGAGATTAAAGTTATAGTTTTTACACAGCTGAATAAACGTCAAGCAGACAGCTGATTATCAGAAGTGTGAGATGCTGGAGAATATACTCCGGTGTCCTGTTATATTTTAGATAGCAAGGAGTTTATTAAACTTCACCGAAACAATCTGCAAATTTCATTAAAATTGAATAAACTATCATCTTGTCTTTATTTTTAGTTAGCACCTTAAAAGCTTAAAGCTGTAAGCTACTGATAGTTATATAAGAGCAGATGCTGCTGGTGCAATAAGCTGTAGTTTTAGTTCCAGTGGATGATGATCTGATTAGTCGACTAATCGCATAAATAATCGGTGACTAGTCGACTATCAAAATAATCGTTTGTGGCAGCCCTAGTTCCAGGGACATTTTACTTCATGCATTCTCATTAGAGCCATCCCGGGTTTAAAAGAAAAAATATGCACGAACAAGGCAGAGCGTCATCATAAAAGGCAAAAGAAAAGAAATAAATGCATTTATCAACACATTACCTGTGCACTTTCTTTACTACATTTATGGTGCTCAAGGTGGTGATAAAAGGTAAACAGACTTAAAAATATATATATAAAGTGAATGTGACATAATTAATGTTGTTTCTCAGTACAATAAAGACATATTATTCATTGCTCAACTCATCTTGAGTAACGGATCTGGAAATGTTTTTATGCTGTTTATTTGGTCATAAATTTTCTGTTTTCCTTTTTTTTCTTTTAAATTTTGTAGAATTCAATTTGTGGGATAACAGCAGAACTATTTTTTCTTTCTTTCATTTTTAATTACACCTTATTTTACCTTATTTCAACATCAGGTGAACTAAGTGTTTGTACTTTGACACTAAACTCACCTCGAGACATCTTTATCCTGGCTCCTGTCATATCTCTTACATGTGTTTTGACAACAAACAGCAGCTTCGATGTCAAGACTCAGAAACACGGTGGCACAGGGCAGGAACCAAAAGCAGGTCATGTGAAATCAGAGGATTCAACAGGAAATAAATACAGGATTTTAAAATTGAACTAACAATAGGCATGATTTCAGGCTCTGCGGTGCATGAATACACTGAAAACTTAAATTTACTAACACCACTTAAGTAATTTATAAAACCGCCTGTTATAAAAACAGGAAACACAATTGTTTTTTTTAAAAATCTCTCAAATTATATTGTTTAAAACTTAAAACTTGTTAAACCAAATTCACATTTTAATACTATTATATTTTTCTGTTCGGGAATGCATTTAAATAACTGTAATTTGACATCTTAATAATTAATAATTAAAAAGAAAAACATTTTGTAAAACACTTTAAATATTCACAGATAACAACAACAATAATAGTGTTAAAAATATCATTTCCATTAAAGAGCCTCCAAGAACATTAAAATATTATTTCTTTTTAATTTAGTAAACCTACATTGAGAGGCAAATATCATAATATTGCAGAAACAGCACATAACCATCAAAATATAATAAGAGTGAAGTAGAACAGCACATTTTATTCATTCATTATAAATGACTTTATAATTTACTGCTCTAATGTATAATAAAACACTTTAATGTTTGGTTTTCTAAAATGTCAAATGAAAATCTTCAAATATTTGTTAAAAGCTTTAAAGTAGGTGCAGCACAGTGCTGTAATGTGTGCTAATGTTTGCCTTCAGTATATAATTGAATAGCACCAGAAGGAACATGACAAGAAACTAAAACTAAAAAAAGTACATCAAAATCCTACCTCGGTACAAGAAATCTACTAAGATTTGTAAACAAAACCGTAAATCACTGAATACACATTTTTATTCTTGAATAATTTCATGCTAGCAAGAAGAAAAAACACTGAAAAAGTTGTGACAGGAGCGTATTTACCACCGTGTTATCAACCAGCTTGCTACTGTCAAACATGCCCGTATTTAGAGAAACCCTTTTATCGATTCTCCTGAATCTCATATTCAGTGCTGTGCACAAGTCCTGAGCAACCCTCCAGTTCTTTATATTTTGCTTTAAAACTTTAGAAATGAGCAGTAGTTGAGCAGACTGGATTTGAATTATCTGGACCCTGTAAATAAAGGCTGAGGTCACAGTGTGCTGGGACAGCTCCAGAGGCTGGTATTAATGATGACTTCGAGGCCAGGATCAGGAGTGTGTTGTTAGCTGTAATGTATAAAAGAGCTATCAGAGCTACATGTGCAGTCTGTATCTGCATGTTAGCGAGCACACAGTCAGTAAAGCATCAAAGTTTTAAAAGTTGAGAAATCCGCCTCTTTCTTGTTTTCTTTCATAAGAACTGAAATTGTTGACCTTTGACCTACAAATATGAGCGTTCACCAGCTCGACCTTCTTAGAGTTTCTGTGGACATGAAAGCCCAGTGAGAGCTGAGCACACGTTGACTTCATGTTTCATATCAGCAGCCTGGGCTGTGAACATACACAGAGAGAAACACGTCTGCACTTAGAGCGTGGATTTAAAGGAGGATGTTTTAAAGTATTTAATATGTTTAGTTTAATGTTTGAGTTGTACAAATAAGAGTACAAATAGTTACACTCTCATTTCCACACGTGATTATCTCTGTTTACTTTGTCACGCTCTGCCACCTCACCTGCGTCAGTTTGGTGGGCGGAGCCAAACCAAATCCACACGGCAACCTTAACTGACCCTGCAGCTCCACCCAGAGGTGGAGTGACAGACCTGATCGTTTGTGCCTGAGAGACCTCATCCAGGGAAATATGAACTCTGGAGCACATTCATGAAAAGATGCTTTTTAAAAAATTTTGAGTTTGCTTCACAGGTTTTTCTTTGTTGTTCTTTACTTACCCCAGAGTATCAACTGGGTCTTGTCATTTTCTTCCATGTGGCTTTTAAAGCTTTTTAGTTTTTTATTTTATTTAAATTTTATTTTGTTTTGGATTAAGGTCACTAGAGCTCATTGATTGACTATTGTACATTTTATTCAATAAAAAAAAAAATCCAGCAACTTTAAAAAAAATTGTAGTAGTTATTCGTTATTCTATTTATGACTTGTTTTATATTTTATTGTAGTCTATACAGCATAATTTTTATTCTATTTTTTTTACTTAATGTAAATGTATTAATTTATTATACTAAATTATTTTATTTCTAACTTTATTTTAATATATTATTATTATTATTATTATTATTATTATTATCATCATCATCATCATCATCATCATCATTATTATTGTATTGATTTTTTTTTATTTTCTCTCAGTGTAAATTAATATTTTGCTTGTTTGTTTAATTTCATTTTTATATTTTTTTTCTTTTAGTTTTTTTTTAGTCTTTGTTTTATAATATTGCATTTTATTAAGCTATTAAGGTAATCTATGTTTTTAAACATTATTTTTTTTGACTGATTTACTGTTTTGACTTGAATTTGCAAACTTTTGCAGACCTTTGGCATATATGAAGTAATCCAGGTTAATTTTATCGTAGATATAAGTATATTCCAAAAAAGCATGAACTGCTGTCTGGCTGCACAGTTAGAGAAGCAACATTCATGTCTGTAAACCTGAAAAGATCCACCATAGATTCATGAAAATACTGAGCACGGCTCTCTCTTGTTTTTCTCTTTTTGTACAAAGTTGTTCAGTAAACTTTACTATTATAAGAAAGTTGCAAAGATCCTGGCTAGAATGTTGCACTTTAAAAAAAACGTTGAGAAGCCATTAAAAAAGCAAACATGAGAGCCATTTCAGTTTGATCATTTTTATTTCACCCAAATGTGAAGATCACCTAAACTATTGCCTAAACTATGGAGCCGTCCACTCAGCTTGTTTGGCTGGATTTCAAAGGCTGCGGGATTAAGAAAAAACAAAACGTCTTCAGTGAAAAAATAAAATGCTGAAACTACTGTAGCAGTGAGCTCAGTGTCAGGACAGAGCAACGTGCTTTCACTTAACGCTCTTCAAAAGGAGGGGCCTCTGCTGGTGGCTGGCTCTGCTGCCTGAGAGACACAAAAAAAGACAGCAGAGATTAAGTGATTTGAGCAAGACGACAACTTTTAACAGGATTCACCAGAAGCTTCTCAAACATCTCTATTTCCCATTAAAATGAATTAACTAGCTGGTGAGCATGTGAGCGAGCTTTCTTTGTCAGACTTTTTCAATGGAAGGAGACATCATTTTTAAAAAGTGCCAACATCTCTCGTTAAGGTTTTTTTTCACACTAAAGCTTCAGATCATCCTTTTCATCCTGTGTCATGAAGCTTAAGATCAAAGTTTTAAGAGCACGTTTTGCAGTTATTTGTTGAAGGTTTAGCTCCCAAAAAACGTGTTAGCCCAGGTTTTATTGACAGTTAAACAACCCGCCAGTTGGCCTCAGGGCCAAATGGTGCTAAATGCTGATTGGCTCACAGAAATATGACATTATCTTCATACTGAGCAGCGCCAGACAATCATAAAAGGGACGTGGCATCGAAAGGAATCCTG